AAAACAACAAAGCTCAGAGAGCATCAAGCCCCCACAATTTTGTTTGACTGATTGGAATTGCTATTGGAGAAACTGACACTTTGGCTAGAAATCTTCTGTTAAAAGTGGAGTTCTCAAGAATACCAAAAAGGCTTCCAAGAAATTTGGAATCCATACATTGACTGCTTCCAACCTATGTCTTTGGATACTCAAGTAATAAATAATAAGTAATAATAATGGAAAACAAATCAAAACAGTACTTCTTACTTTCTTGCTGGTGTCCATTCCTTCAACCACAATGCCTTCCTTCCCCCCCCCAATGAAATTCAGTCATCCCTCACTTTACCTACATTAAAGAGTAAGTGGCTTATTTTAAAGCATTTAATCAAAATGTTTTGGCTACATTTTTTTAGAAAATGTTCTCAAATATAAAATTATCAAACATACAGATTGAAAAAATACATAAAAGATTCAGGTCATAGAATCATGAAATGTAAACTTAATGTAATTTAGGATGACTCAGAACATTGAATAACCAACCTGCGGATATCAATAGCAGTGCAAAATCATTCCACTTCTGAATTCTAGACTGTGCAAACACACCGCCATTATTTCAAAAAGAGCTGAAAATACAAACTTTATGATAAAAATCTGTGTAATATTGTTCCAGGAAATGGCAAGCTTTAGAATGTTTATCAACATGTGGTATGCTAATACAAATGGTCTGTGTGAGACCACTAAGATGGATTTTATATTATTAATGTCTAAATCACAGTTATATGGTCAGTAATCTTGGGTCAGTTTCAAGTATAGTTATTATTATCCACATTATGTTACTAGACAATTGCAAAACTATTCTAGTAGCAGACAAACCAGCTACTTTTCTCTTGTATGAAAGCAAGCTACTTACCTTAAGATATCTGAGGAGTGGCCCACGATTAATATATTGTTTACTTTCTTACTATTATATATATATATGTGAGTTCAGTTGTCATTTTGTACATAACAGGCAACTGCCAATGTATTCCACATGTTTTTATATATACACACAAACAGAAAGATATATAGATATAGATATACAGAATAAAAAACTGACAAGAACTAATATTTCGAATAGCGTTATTTTCAAGAACCATCATTTACCTATTCAGCGAATGTTGTGCCTGGATCCAAATAGGTAACCTATTTCTTAAAAAATAAATTTAATAGAAGTTGCTTATTTTCCCCCCTCTCTCTCTTCGTTATGGCATCTTAGTCTAAAATTTCCTTGAGGATTGCTGCAATCTGCTACTGTGCTGCCTGCATGCTTTACAAAGCTGTTGTATGCTATGTAGGGGCCATCTGTCAAAACAGCAATGACAGAATGAATTAATCTGAATTGCAGATGTGTTAATGAACCCCTTTGAAAGGCTTAAGCAAGCTTTAATTAAAACAATGCAGAAGAGGGTTTAAACTTTTTTAAAAGAGCTTTAACAACTATTGCATTAATATTTTTTTAATATTTGGATTTTATTTGCAGTCACACACTAGATATGCGGCTTGTAAATGAGATAAACAGAAAAGCACATGAAGCTTTTCCTTAATCCATAATTAGATAGGTTTGAAAAATGTGAGAGCATGAGAAATAGGACATTTTTGATGAAGCAGCTTTAAAACAAAGTGTTGCCTTCTGTGTTGGGGGAAGGTTTGAAGTGCTTATCCTTGCATGGCTAGGAAACAAAACAACCACATTTAAACATACAGCTAGGCCTCAACTTACCACCACAACTGGGACCAGAATTTCCATTGCTAAGCCTAAGTGAGTCATGCCCAATTTTGTGACCTCTTTTTTTGTGTGTGTGTGTGCCATGGTTGATGAGCAAATCATTTTAGTTGTTAAGGGAATCATGTGGTTGTTAAGCAAAGCTGGCTGGGAAGGTCACAAATGGTGACCACATGACCCTGAGACGCTGCAGCCATTGTAAATACATGCCAGTTGCCAAGCACCTGGATTTTGATCACATGACCATGGGGATGCTTCAACTCCTTGCGCTCATCCTAAGTTTGAGGACCGATTAAAGATCACTTTTTCCAGTACCGTTGCATCTCTGAATGGTTACTACAGAGGTCCCCAATCTTTTGGGTACCAGGGACCAGTTACGTGGGGAGAGGTTTTTTTGTGGATTGGAGGGGGTGTGGTTTTGTGTGCTGCCTGCATCCCACGGATGGGGCTTTGCTTGTTTGTGCAGCCTGGTTGCTGGCATGCCGCGGACCGGTACTGGTCCACAGACCGGGCTTGGGGACCACTGGGTTACTAAACAAATGGTTTTAAGTCAAAGACTACCTGTATATCCTATTTGAAAATCTTAAAGAGTTAGTGTATTTGTAAAAGTGTCCAGCTTCTAAGGGGTACGACCTTTCATGTGGCAATGTAAGTAGAAAGGACAAAGGCAACATTTGAGATTTTTTTT